GATGCTGCGGGCGCGCGAGGCGGCGCAGTTCCTGCGGCCCAGGCAGCGCCGCGCGTACCAGGTCTTCGAGGAGGCAAAGCAGGGCCACCTGGAAAGGGAATGCGTCGAGGAGTTGTGCAGCAAGGAGGAGGCCCGGGAGGTGTTCGAGAACGACCCCGAGACGGTGAGCGCGGGGCCGGGCGCGCGGGCGCCGCGCGGGGGAGGTGAAGAAGTGGGGAGGTGTGCCGCCCGCGCCTTGCGGACCGCGGTGCGGAGCGCTAGAGCCTCCAGATCCCTGCAGCACCACGTTGCTGGGAATGTCCATCCTTGCGCACCCTTGTTGGGGGCCCAGGGGTTCCTCTGGCACCTCGGACTTCCCTTCCCAGAGTCTTCCGCGAGCCCTTCATGGGGGGGTCCATGCTGCAAGTTGTGCCCAGAACTCTTAAATACGGAGACATTGCGTTTAGGAATGGTGAAAGGGCAGGGATATAGGGCGTCTGCACCCAGGCTCACCCTCAAGCCGCCTACACACCTTTTGAGCCCCAGTTCTCTAGGTGACTCCCAGGTGCTCCTGTTAGCTGGAGGCAGAAACAGATCTTAGATCCGGGTCCTGTTGAGACCCTGCGGTTCTCTTCTTCAGTAGATCTCTGAAGGCAGACACCTTAAAGGAAATATGCAACATATGACACCTCCACTAGAATGAAATAGAGGCCGTTTTTAAAATGTAAAAGAAATACCATGGTTAGAAAACCCAAACAGCTTCTTCCCTCCCTTCTCCCTTAGCTGGATTGGAAGTGACGGGTGAGGCTGCCCATAGCTTCTTGATAGAGGGTTTATCAGGAAGGGAAGTTAGGATAGAGGATTTGCCTGAAAGGAATTAAAAGATGTGAGGGCTGGGCCCTGGCCAGTGTGGCTCTGTTGAGCATGGTCCTGTGCACCGAAAGGTTGCTGGTTTGATTCCCACTCAGGGACATGCCCAGGTTGCGGGCTTGAGCCCCAGTAGGGGTGCGTGCAGGAGGCAGCCTCTCTCACATGAGTGTTTCTCTCACCCTCTTCCTTCCTCTCTCTCTAAAATTAATAAAAATAAACTCAACAAAAAACATGTGAGGGCTGGAATTGCTTGCCCAGTAGATCCTAAAATATGATTACAGTAATAGTATTAGAACATATATGGGGGGGGGGAGCCTGGAAGGAAGCACATTAGGGGAATCTCAGGGTGGACGTTAGGAAAGGGCCCCAGCACACACACACACAACGCACCAACCCCTGTCAGCAAGGTGCTCTTTTAGAAACAGCTGGTGATTTCAGAAGCCTGACCGAGCTGGCTCAGGACATATTTCTATTAATAATGTCCTTGGAGACTGTAGGGCGCCAGGCAGCCAAGTGCAGGCAGGGAGCAGCCCAGGTGTGGACTTGGCATCTGTGCAGGAGCTGTGGGATCTTAAGGGAGAGGAGATGTATAAGAACAGTCATGGTGGTTGTGACCTGTGGGACCTGGTGAAAGCTCTAGATGTATATCTGTTCCTGGACAGATGACTTTGGAAAGTAGTAGTGATAGATATGGGGTAGACTTACATTACATCACTTTACGCTGTGAGGTCAGGGTGATTGCACAGCTGTTTCTGGCGCTACCCAATTTTTTCTTTTAAAGAATTCTCTGGAATGAAATGTCATATGTAATAAATAAAAGGCTCTGTGTGGTTGATGTTTGCTTCTTTTGGACTTATTTCTGATCGATTGACTTGACAGTCCCTTTTAGGTCTCCTTTCTGAAAAGCTCTAAAAGGATTAACTACCACTGTGTGGTTCTCTCTGGCAGTTAACTGTTGTGGCTGAGCTATGATAGGGCTATTTCCTCCAGTGTNAAAGGATTAACTACCACTGTGTGGTTCTCTCTGGCAGTTAACTGTTGTGGCTGAGCTATGATAGGGTTATTTCCTCCAGTGTTACTGCCCTCAGTGACAGTAGCAACACAGTTTCGATCCTGTCCTGTGGAGCAGTTTTGAGGGTCTTTTTCTGGCCTCCCTGATTTCCCATTTCTTTGATGATGAATCCCGGTAGCCCAATGACTCATGCCTCTGCAGAGGATTAGAGGATTTCTGAAGGTCCTAGCAGCAGGGCTGTGTGCCTGGCCACCCAAGATCACTGCCCAGCTGTGGGACTGTGACAGGTGCGGTGTTCTCCATCCACATGCCTAGCCTGGAACATTTACTTGTGCAGAAAGTGTGTGATGGGGCTTGCAGGTGACAAGAGTTGAGAGCATCAAGGCTGCCACCCACCCCACCATCCCTCGCCCTGCCTAACCTCAGCCCCTGCCTGCTCAGGAAAGAAAAAACCCTGACCTGGCTTTCCCTTCCTGTCTGGACATACTCTGCATAAACCATTGTGCCACTCTTCCTAGAATGTCAATCCCCTCTCTTATTTTAATTGCTTTTATGTTGTAATTTTAACTTTATTTGCAAATGTATGGAGTGAAGGCAAAAAAAAAAAAGTGTTCACGATCCCATAACTTTAATACAGTCACTGTTTTTTCAGCCTGTGTCTGCACAGGGACTTTGCACATACATCCCTGTTAGGTCTTGGCTCCCCTCTTTTCCAGCGCACAGCTCAGTTGCTTTAATGCTGGGGTTGGGGGAATGGGGTGGGTGTCCTCTCTTACACTCTAGCCCCATCAGAAGTTTGTAAGCTCCTGTTCATAGCAAAGCCTTCTAAGTTTCCTAGAATTCTGTCCCCTTTCCCAACCCCCATCCCCAAATAGTAATTACATCTTTTCTGTTATTTATCAGCTTCCCAAATTGTACTGGCTGCCTCTGTGTCATCCCTCCCAGTTAGCTGGATTATAAACCTTTCATTTTAACCTGCACCTTGCATCCTGCGTAGACCTTTGTGTAGACTGTTGTGTAGACTGTTGTGTAGACCATGTGCTCTGTTGTCTGGATTTGGCCCTTGGCTTGTTTTGCTTTTCCTTGAGGCAGCGTGGAATGCTGGGAGGAGCTGGGGTAGGGTCAGGGGTCAGAGGTCAGGGTTAGGGGCTATGAGTTGATTTGAGTCCCAGCTGTTCTGGTAGACCAGTTCTCCACTTTGATGTGTCTGGGTTTCCCATTCCATCTTCTTACTTTGGGGAGATCCATGTTCCCTGGCAGTGGTGAGATCCTCCAAACACTATTTGCTGCCCGTGTATTTTATTTTAGTAAATACAGCACTGCTGAAAGAGGCAGTCCTGTGAAATAACCAATGAGTTCCTCTGCTCCAAAAAGTTTGGGGCTCTCACTAGGTAATATTTATTCCTTACCTTCAAATGTAACTCATTTTGTATTTTTTGATTGAGGCTGATGGAGTGACCCAGAATGATGAGCACTGACCTTATTTAGTTTAAGAAACCCCCAGGTCGCCCGGCCGGGCGTCGCTCAGCGGTTGAGCATTGACCTAGGATCCAGGCGATTGGGGTTCGATTCCCGGTCAGGGCACACGCCCGGGTTGCGGGCTCGATCAATGACTCTCTCATCATTGATGTTTCTATCTCTCTCTCCCTCTCCTTTCCTCTCTCTGAAATCAATAAAGATATATTAAAAAAAAAAAAAAAAGAAAGAAACTT